GCGCTGTCCCCCCAGGCCCCGCTGGCCGTCCTCTCCAAGGTGGAGCTGCGGGTGAGCTGTAAGCACCTCCTGGACCGCGACACGCTCAACAAGTCGGACCCCTGCGTCCTGCTGCTGATGCAGTCCCAGGGCCAGTGGATGGAGGTAGGAGGGCGGGGGGGCACCGCTGGCACCCACCGCAGCGGGGCAGGGCTGGGGCGGGCTGTCATTGGGGATGTGGTGCTGCTGGGTGCAGGGTGCTGGGCACGGGGTTTGCGTCTCTGGGATGGGGACAGGAACAGAGACAGCCCCCAAGGTAGCTGCGATGCCCACGGGGCCGGAGAAAGCGCAGGAGCCACTGCACGGCATGCAGGGTGCAGAGCAGGGTGCAGGGTTTGGGAGATGGTGCAGAGTGGGGTGCAGGGTGCAGAGCAGGGTGCAGGGTTCAGGAGATAGTGCAGAGCAGGGTACAGGGTGCGGAGCGGGGTGCAGGGTTCGGGAGATGGTGGAGAGCAGGGTGCAGGGTGCGGAGCGGGGTGCAGGGTTCGGGAGAGGGTGCAGAGCAGGGAGCAAGGTGCAGGGTTCAGGAGAGGGTGCAGAGCAGGGTACAGGGTGCGGAGCGGGGTGCAGGGTTCAGGAGAGGGTGCAGAGCAGGGTACAGGGTGCGGAGCGGGATGCAGGGTTCAGGAGAGGGTGCAGAGCAGGGTACAGGGTGCGGAGCGGGGTGCAGGGTGCAGGAGAGGGTGCAGAGCAGGGTACAGGGTGCGGAGCGGGGTGCAGGGTTCAGGAGAGGGTGCAGAGCAGGGAGCAAGGTGCAGGGTTCAGGAAAGGGTGCAGAGTGGGGTGCAGGGTGCAGAGCAAGGTGCAGGGTTCGGGAGAGGGTGCAGAGCAGGGTGCAGGGTGCAGACAGAGGATGCTGGGTGCAGGGTGCAGAGCTCGCAGTGCGGCGCGCAGGGTGCACGCCGGGTGCAAGGTGCAGGGAGCAAGGTGCAAAGCGTGGGGCGCAGAGCGCGAGGCTGGTGGGGCAGGGTGCTGTGGGACACCCAGCAGCACGTGGGGATGGTGCAGACGCCTTGGTCGGAGCGAGTCCCCTGGGGCTCCAGCAGGGCTGAGGAACGGGGTGCCTGGGGGCCGGGGAATGGGGTGGGGGGCCTGGGGGCCAGGGAATGGGGGGCCTGGGGGCCGGGG